AGAGTTTTGGGTTTTCTTTTTTGATCAAAATATGACAATTGAGAAAGGGGCTAAGGAAGGAAAATTGAACCAAAATTAGGGTATTGCATAAAAAGATGGAGTTACTATAAGTAGCAGTTTTCCATATTTGGTGGCTTTGCTAATTTGCTTTGCTTCTTCTGAGTGGCTCTTTTCTTCTTTTGGCACTTCTTCCCCTTTTATAACGCTTTGTTTGGTTTGCCTTCTGTCTTCTCCAATTATATTATATAATTTGCTTTTAAAAACACACACGAAAAATCTAACTAGGGTTTTCTTTTTTTCTTGCTTTTATCACGGTTTTAAATCTACCCAAAAATGTTATTTATTATTTTCAAGAAAAAAGTTGATCATGTCTTCAGGATAGAATTATAAATTTATTGTATATTGGAAAAATATTTGACTATACTCGTTTTAGTCATACCCAATAATTTTATTATTATTGTATAGTGTTTATCTTTAGATAATTTTTATAATATACTCGTATCTTTAAAGGATAAACGAAAATAACAACTAAGTTTATTTTGTTTTCTTATGATTTTTACATAAAGATTTTTTTGAGGTCGAATAAAATAGCCAAACGTGGCCTTATTTGAAGGAGAATATATGAAAAAAGCAAAAGTTGTGGCTTTAACGCTTTCTATAGATAGTAAAATCTCACAAGGAAGATTACTTTCTCTCCAAACCGAGTTTATTGTATTTTTAGTAAAAGAAAATATTCCCTTTTAAGAAGACTTTCTATTGTAACCGAAATTATATATAGAGAACGTAAATATTGTGTTTTGGAATTATCCAAACATTAGGAAAATGTTAATATTGGTAAATCACAAATTTCTGGCTCGGCTGTGAGATTTTTTTTGTAAACAAGTGATTTTAATGGAAATATATTTTTGCAAATTTGGAATTATTAAAGTAAATAAATTGATACAGCTCAACCCTTTTGTTTTGCAGTGTAAATGACAGTTTAATACTCCATTTAGTGCGGCTCTTTTTACAAAAACCTAAGAAAGTAAATCGAAAATGAATAAAACATTAAAACATCATAGTTCTAATAATATAAGTCAAAAATAATAAATTTAATGTATTCTCGAAATGGCTAATTATAATTTATACACTTTGCGTAGGCAAAATTTTGTTGCTATTTTAGGTTGATGCCAAAAATAACATGTTTCTCGTATGCATTAACGTTTTAAATATTGGAAAGAATTAACGCGTAGAGTACTCTTTTGGAATTTATAACAACCATCCAATTCGAAAAATAACGTGATTTCTTATGTTTTTGTTTTCTTCCACGAAAGGAAAGAAAATTTATTAGTGGGAAAATTTTGTTATAGAAATTCCTATACACGAAATAAAATATATTTTTTTGTGTTTTTTTCACTGACCAGACATTTATATAACCTTGCTACAAAAGAGAACCAGCCCACTTGTCGTAATTATGTGTAGTTTCTTTCCATTTTACTTTCTTTTTGTGTCGGACTTCTTCTAGATGAGTTTTAATCGATTTTTTTTTCAAAACCAAAGAAATTCAATGAGATAATCATAACAAACAGAATATTATTCCTATATTGAAGTCAATCTTATACAAGCAGGAATTTTTTTTTAATGCAATATCCAAACTCAACTTTTAACGCAAATCTGGGTTTTCAAATTCGTTAATCACGGCCACACACAAAAAAATAAAAAATTGTAAAAAGATCTCATAACATATTTGGGACTTTGAGCCTATACAACAAGAGGAGCATATTTGGGCCTATTTGGGCCTTTAGGCCCATTTTGATTTGGTATGAAACTCAGGTTTAGTTGGTCTTATCCGGTTAGTGATTTCTTCACAGAAACTAAAAAGCTTGTAAATTTGAGTGATTAGCAGACCTAAACTAACAATTTTCTGTTTATGCATTTCTCTATACAAAATGGTAACATCTCCAAAACGATATTACACACGCTAAAAAACCGGTTAATAGGTAACATTCGGTTATTGACTGCTATACACTGGTCCAAGTCTCTTAACCGAAAAATCGTAAGCACGAGACAACGATTTTCTGAATCTTTTCAAATCGAGCTTCACGTTTTGGCGCTCGAGATAGATCTTCTTAGTATAGTCCCATCCTTTTCGAGTAAAACTCTTCGGATCTCGGATTATCGGATCATCTTTACCATATTCGTCGTATAAAGAACTCTCTATCGGTTTAATCTTGTAACCAATGTACTTCAATCTCATTTTCTTGGCTGGTTCTCCATAGTAAGTCTCAGCTGCCCACTCGGTTCCTAGCGGAATAATCTGTATAAACACGGTTTTTGGCTTCAAGAAAAGGAAATGTGTCATTGCAGCTCCGTGAACACCGATCATCACATCGCTAGAATTCAAACATTTGTAGATTTTCGCCAGCTCGGTAGTTTTATCCGGTCTCAAAACCTCGACGAAAAATCCAATTTCTTCAGCTAATTCCACCAAAAGATTCTCATTCAATATCTCCCTCGTTCCATTTCTCGAAAGAATCACCAATTTCGGTTTCTTCAAACCATCTTCTCGAACACTTTGACTGGTCTTGTTTGCTGTCTCGAGCTCTTCGTCTTGAATCAATCCACGGATACGCGGCAAATATGCCCGATCCAACACATTTCTGAAATCAAAAATGGTTTTATTACCAAGCATCAACGATGAATCAACCGTTAACTCGTCGTGAATCTTTAATCCCACTATAGCTTCCTTGAAACAATGCGTTCTCTTATCGCCATTGAAGTCCACGGTTGGATAATCGGATAGCTGAGAAACGATATCTCCATATTTCATAACCCACCAAGTATGATACTCAACAATCACAAACACAACCTTCTTCTTGAAATGCTGTGAAGTGATGAACAAAGGGATGATTCCATCATTAAATTCGTGGTAAACGTTTCCGGTATAACCACCAGTAGATAAAAACACAGCAGGAACGTTATAGAACACATCACAGATGTTATTGTTATGTTCATCATCAGAGACTGAATAATTTTCATCTCCGTAAACGAGATTGAGTTCTTGAACTGTTTCCATCACGCTAGTCTCCCATTTTCTTGTGTAAGGTTTGATCTTTTCATGGATTTTGGACTTGTTTTTCAGGGAAGTGAAGAGGCAGACTGATGAAGAAGCAGAGTGTGTTCTAACATCTCCTTTCATAATACAGATTTCGGATCTAAAACCGGTTCTGTCACAACAAATTGTTCCTGTAATTTTAAATGCATCATTAAACGGAAGTTGTGAAATTAAAGACAACATAAACAATTCAGATATCGACAACATTAAAGAGTTTAATTAGGAAAAGATTAAAGAGATTGGAAAAGATAAATTACCATTGGAGATTCGTGAACATTGAGGTGCAATGAAGGGTTCGTAAGGACCAAAATCTTCACTTTCTTTCCTAAACGATTCTGCACAAGAAAAAACTCACAATGAGAAGATGAGAAAAAAAGCTAGAAAAATTGTGAAAGAAAGAAATTACCAAAGAGAGGTTATTGATACCTAGGAGAGAGAAAAAGGAGATGCTGAAGATGTAACAGCAAGAGAGGAAAGAGATAAAGATAATTGATAGAATCTTCTGTTTAGCTGTCATTAAGTAGCCACCGCCGGGGACAACGACGGAGACGGCGGTGGCACCTTCTTCTACTGAAACTCTAAGCTTTTTCAATTTTTTTCCATTGTGAATGATCAATCTATGGTTTTGCACCATTTTCTACGGGAAAAAAAAAAGAAAACCCCACAAGCAAAGTTTCGATTTTTACGATGCCTCTGGTCGACTTTTGGAATTCTGACTAAGAATCAGGCAAACCCATAAGAGCGTTCACCGGAAAAAATATAAAAAATCAGTTTTTTTTTATTTTCTTTCAAGAAAGGAGAGAGAGAGATTGGTGTGTGTCTCTGATGAGAATTAAAGACGTTCTTTTTTACTTTCTGGGTTTTGCTGCTTTCTCTTATACACCAAGAGACAACACAGAGAAGATGGGACTTTTGAGAAGAGGATGTTTCAAAAAAAAAATTTTAATCACAGAGGATGTTTCATTTTGAAGATTGTTTTTTTCAATGAATTTTCTTTAATAACATCTACATTTATGTTTTGGCCTTCGTCAAGTTATTTTTCGTCAGCAGATGGAAACAATTAAGGAAAGACGTGCCAGAAGAAGCTCCCATAACAAAAATTTTACTTATGTTTTTTTGTAAGAAAAAAAATTAAATATGATCCATCAATATTAATCTTACAATATCCTCTATATATTAATAGATAAGACACTAGGTGAAAATCCTAAATATCATCCAAAAAAGATTTTAAGAAATTTTTAATAAAAACTATTAAAATTTCTTAATGACATTATTGTGTAAATAATTATGCTAAATTTATATCATATATACAATATATAACTATTAAACAAATATGGAAGCAAGGAATATGTGATAATTAATATAGAAAATTTTATTTAAAAAATATAAAGTATATATGAGAATATATTTTTTTCAATAACTATTAGATTTTTTTGACATGCGTTAAAATATTCAAAAAATATTTTCGATATTTTTAATATATGAAAAAATTAAAAATAACAAAGATATATCTCCAGTATAGATAAATATATTGACAAATAAATTTTATCTTACCAAATTTAATTTGCATGTAGAGAATTTTTTAGAAATGCCAATTTTAAAAAAATGTCATCAATTTAAAATTTTCTTTAAAATGTCACTAATCTTCTATATATTAATTGAATAGACAATTGGTAAAAAATCATATGTATTATCCAATGAGGATTTTAAGGAATATGTCATTTAAATAACTAATGAAAATATTTTAATTAAAACTATATGCTACGGTGGAAATCTGTATATGTTTTTATTAACTTTATAACATAAACCCATTAATATATATTTTACAGAATTCAAAGTTTAACTAAATGTAATATTTAAAGTTACTATATCATCTATTTTTTCTTTAAAAATTGATATATTAGCTTTTTATTATTATATTTCTAACAATATTATTTATTTGTAGATGATAACTACACTTATAAATATATTTATATTTTATTATTAGAAAACATATATTTTTTGTTTGTTACGTCAGACAAATTTATATAAATCTAAAATTTATTTGTTTTATCGCAGACTCTACAATTTTACACAAATAATAAAACTCAATTTGACACTTCAAATCAATTGAAATAAATAACATTTGCATTAGTTTTAATATTTTTATACAAAGTTGATCAAAGCATATGAAATATGTTGGGGCAACTACAAAAATGCCATTTTTTGTGTGCACATTTAGGGATGTCCATTTACAAAAATGCCACTAATTATAAATTTATAAAACCTATATCTTAAAATTCTAAACCCTAAAAAATGTTTTGACNCCTAAAACCNNNTAAACNNTCAAAACTAAACCCTNATAGANNATAATTAANCNAAACATAAATNATATAAAGAAAAATAATTTTGAAAAAGTGGCATTTTTGTAAAGATTTCAAAAGTGGCATTTTTGTAAAGTGGCACTTGAAAAGTGGCATTTTTTTAAAATTCTCAAATATGTTTAGTAAAAATATAATTTTATTACATTTATGCACAATATATATCATTTTGTTGTTTAGAAATATTAGAATACACGTTTAAATATTAAGATCGATTAGAAAATATATTTAAATATTTAATCCCACTAAGATATTAATGTTGAATTATTAATGTAGTGGTGTTATTAATGTAGATGCATTTTTTTGAGAAATTTCAAAAAAATGTCATTTTTCAAGTGCCACTTTACAAAAATGCCATATTTTTACAATCTTTGCAAAAATGCCACTTTTTCAAAATTATTTATTCATTATATCATTTATGTTTGGGTTAACTATGTTGTATTAGAGTTTAGTTTTGAAGGTTTAACGGGTTTTAGGGGTCAAAATATTTTTTAGGGTTTAGAATTTTAAGTTTTAGACTCTAAAAAATCATAATTAGTGGCATTTTTGCAAATGGACAAAAAAGTAGCATTTTTGCAAATATGAACACAAAAATGGCAATTTTGTAAATGTACCATTTTCTTTCCACTAAGATAAGAATATATATTTTCCCTTTAGTAAACCGGATGTTAAGGAAAAATTATGAAAAAAATTCGTGATTTACGCAGTAATAAATGGAAGGGAATGGTCAGCTGGTAGGTCCAGCTCCATGACCTAATCAAGGGTAGATTGACTATTTGAGTAGTTGTTGTTTCTAATTTGAGTCCATGTGAGTTAATAAGATTTAAAAAAAAAATACAATTATGTACAGTTTCTTATACTCGGAACAGGCTCAGGCCGCTCAGCGATATAAATTATTATTCGAATTTCGATTATATATGCAACACTCCTCCTCTCTACTTTGTTGAATTAACATGATTTTGATTATCATCTTGCTTGATGTTAATGAAGTTGAATCAGTTTTTTTTTTTTAATTATTATATACATAAATAGAATCTGTTGCTAATGGAGCCATAGCGTCGAAAATTTACAATAAGGCTAGGTCCTTAGCTTCCAAACTCGGCCTCAAGCCTGATTTGTTGATGCATATTCGAGCTGATGAGTTTACAGTGAGTTTTATGCCTTTAAGCTTTTCCTGCATTGATCTCTCGGTTACTTACTGACATTATATTCATCCGCAAAAGCGGTTTTGTTCTGCTTTTCAAATGGATAGCCAATTAGTTAAAGCTGCTCAAGAAACTGCGGAAAATTCGACTCAATTTGTTACTAATAGGTAGCTTCATTATTTGAGTAGTTTATGGAATTGTGTTGATGAGTAAACAGATATATGAAAAACCTTATTTTCTCCTTATTGCAGGACTCCGTTAGAAGTTGCAGCGTTAGTCATATATGTCGTTGGTCGACTTTCTTATGAGTAGAAGCTATTCAAAGGTTTGTATTTCAAATCCCCATCAAGCAAAATCTGATGAGCTCTTCTCTTTTACTAACTTATTTACACACTTAAATTGACTTGCAGATATTATGGAAGTCACAAGAGTTTCATAAACCGCGATAAACGAAATATACAAGGACTTGTATCCACATCTGTCAAAGATAATACCGAAGTGGTTTGCCGAGGCAAAAGACATGAAAAAGCTTCACAATCCTTAGATGATCTTTATGTACGAGGGAACACACGCTATATCACTCAAGGAAGCTTTTGTGTTTTCCATTTTTTTCTAGAACCCTTTATGCCATTGTTACTATGCCTTGTAGACAAAAACATTTAGCTGTACATATAACCTCATTGATACGCATATAATAAAAGTTACTCCCACGTGTGTGTAAACTTTCAGTTGCTTCTTTTTGATGAAAATTGAGAGTACACTGATTATGATTAAGAAGTGTAAAGTCTAGCGGTCGCTGGTTCGAGGAGGAAAGGTCCATTTTACGACGGTAGAGGTGATTGGCTCTT